AAACTCCTGGGTCGCCAGTTAAATCTGCCCATTCATCAGGCAGGCTTGGATGTGCGGAAGTTCTCATTCTCTGTCAGAGTGACAAAAACATGAGTTACCCTCCCCGCATGCTGCGGTGTCACCATGAATGGGATGTTTTACAAGGGATCAGGGCATGTTCGTGTTTTGAAGTGAACAAGAACGACGAGAGCTCGAGCTCATCCGCATTAAATCATTCCCATTTTGTCCTACCTCTATGGGTTTGTTTGAACAATTTCAGCCCAAAACATCTTTCTGCCTATCGCACGTTTTACATAGCAAATAGAGAACTCAAAGGCTTACGCATATTTCCCTCAATGAACTAAACTGAACTTAATTCAAATCGAAATAACGCAAACACCTTACACCGGAAAGTTTAAAGATAATTTTAACGGTCTCATTCCCGAACACTCAAGTTCTAGACTGCGACAAGGGTCCTGCTGCGATTAAGTGGTGGATCAAGTGAAAACCCTCGTTTATTTTTTTATAACTCCTATCACTCCTCACCCATAACGACGATTTTCGCGGTTCTTGATGTCATTTTCTCATCTCGACCTCTGACAGTTCGACCATCGGTTTCGATGATGTCCACCGTGTGCCCCACAGTTTCAGCAGCAATGGGAGCGGGGACGGTGACTTACGCAGGGGTTTATTGTGCCGGTAGACTTGCATAGCATCTACCTACACTCTCTCCTCCTCCCTCGCCCGAGCCCGGTGTCAAGACAGAGTCAAGAAGACCGGAGACGAGGGAGGCCGCAGGTGGATGGCTCGGACGGATCCTCACCTTGGCGTTCCACCACACCCCCTGGTCCACAGAACAAATGACCAGGATTTCAACCAACACAACAGAGATTTGGAGGCTGGCACGGCCGAAGCCGCACCTGGGCGTGCCGCCAACGCCTGGCTCGGATCCCACACTGTGGTGGGAATGCCATAAAGGCCACATTAAAAAGGAGCCATTGCAGCCTGACTCTCAGACCGCCTCCAGTGAAGGAGGAGGTCCAAGTTACCCCGTCAGTTGGCAACCTTCCAAGCCACGGCTTTTAGCGCACCGTGATAGCTTCAAGCGCGTCAGATTGTTTATAGTGAGGGGAAAGTGCGCCGAGTCGTCGACCTCACTGTCCCTTCCCACGCCCACACCCCAGCCCCTGTCCGAGCCGGTCAGCAGACTGGAGTGGGGAATGGGCGCGGTGGCTGTCATGGTCGACTGACCATGACTGCGCGCGCCACGGCACGACCTGGCCCCCCATACACACAACATCATGATTTCACACAACGGGGGTTGAACGGCGTGTCTCTCACTTGCGTGAGAGGGCCGTGGAAGGTGCTGTTTCGGCCCGTTCCCAGCCCACCAGTCCGCCACTCCACACAACACACACACACAGCGCGACGAACTGCGTGAACCGAGAGCGGGCGTCAATCAGCAACCTTCCTATCCACGACGCTTGACGTGTCGGGATAGTCTCGGACTCAAGTCAGCCGTGCAGCCGAAGCCGCATGGGGACCGAGTCGAGATGCGGACTTCCCACTTGCGTGGGAGGTGGCAGGTGGGTGCATGAGGTGTGTGAATGTTGATTTCAGGTGGGGTGGTGGTGGAGGAGGTAGGGAGTGAGTGAATGTGTGGTGTGACCGGCGGTTGTCTACCGCAGGTCGTCGTGGATGCGCATGTGGCCGAAGAGACCCATGAGATGCCTGGAAGTGCGAGGGTAGTGTGGGCAGTTGAGACGAGCTTGGTGGGTATAGGTGGGTACTCCAGGCATTGGTTCGTCAGTCACTGTGCGATGGATTCGCAAGTGACCGACCAGGCCGATGCGTGAGGTGAATGTGCGTGGACAGTGTGGGCATGAGAAGTCGGCGGTGTCAGTGTCAGCTACAGAGGGTGCGGTGGTGGTGGTGGTGGCGCATACGGATGAAGCGAGAGTGGGGGTGTGCACGGTGGATGTGTTGGATGTAGTGGGTGTGTCGGGAGTGCGGTCAAGGCCGCTCTCGTGGATGCGTATGTGGCCGAAAAGGCCCATGCGATGCCTGAAGGTGCGTGGGCAGCGTGGGCAGTGGAGGCGAGTGCGGTGGGTGTAGGTTGGTGCTTCACGCACTGGTTCGCCAGGCTCTGTGCGATGGATTCGCAAGTGACCGACCAGGCCGATGTGTGAGGTGAAGGTACGGTCGCAGTGAGGGCAGGTGTAGTCCTGATCCTCATCGCTGGAGTCGGGGGAGGTGGTGGTAGTGTCGGCTGTTACGCGCGGGGCAGTCG